TGCAACTTGTCGCTATTCCAGTTGCCGTTATCCGAGTTGTCCTGTATCCGACGTAAATTAGCCCGTTTTCATCCCTAAATCTCATCAAAACTGAAAATTTCAGATTTTTTTCCCTTAAGACACTCAAGTTATCGCATGTATCTCTCCAGACAAAAAATGAATTGCAGAAAAACTTGAACAATATTCGACAAAGACCAGCCTGCTTTCACTCCTAAATCTAAACAGAACTGAAAATTTTTGATGAAATTTCACACGACATTCAAATCATCGCATCAATACTTTCAGACAAAAAAATGCACTCCAAAAAACTAGAACAATATTCGACGAAGACTAACCTGGTTGATCTATAAATCTCGACATGACTGAAAATATTGAATTAAATTTCAAACTGACTTCATCATCGGATAACGAAAACAGTCATTAAAGTTTTGCGAACAAATGACTGCATGAAAAAAAATGAGTACCACTCGGAGAAAACTAACCTCTCAGCGATGTAAAGGGTTCCTTTCCCAACTGAAACCTTGCTCACCACAGCCTCCGTGTTTTTCCCTTCGAAGCGGATACCTTCAGAAGGCGGTGTGATCTGGCGCAAGAACATCATTATACAATTTTCCTGTGCGAAACAAATCCGATTAGCTGCATGATCTGAATTTTACGCTCTGTAACAAACAAAAAAAAGGATAACAAGTCATTGAAAAAAATAGATCGTGTACTGCTTCAACCCGTACGGAAGAATAAATCCCGAAGCACCCAGAAATAAAAATTGTTTCATGAAAAAAAATCAATTAGCTGAACCGGTTTCAATTACCCACAACCGGTTGCTGTCCATCTTTTCATGCAGCTCAAAAGGGTTTTCTCAGTAAGTCTTGCGAATCACCTGCGATTCTTAATTGAAATCTTATGAAAAAGTACATCATCCTGTAGGACAACTGCAATTTTTGATTCATGAACATGCGCTTTCGTAGAACTCCAATTTTATGCGCCTGAAGAAGTTATCGCTGAAAATTAACGCTTCTTGGGTAGCAAAAGAGGAATAAAACTCTGGAGAACACTTCAGAAAACAGCTCATGTCTGAAGTTGCAGTCGTATGGCTTTGAAAACGACGGGGTGAGAATTTCTGTCAGGCATATTCCTCATAAATACATACGACGGACTCTCTGCGGCAAAATTCAAGGGAGCAGAAAAAACTTCGTTGTAGAGAATTTCGTTCTAGGGAACCCCTAGGGGGATGAAAAAGTAGTCCATTATACAGAGAAATTCGTTGTAACAAGACAGTTGACATTAAAACTTTCGGATAAAAATGTTCTCATATTGCATGAAAAGTTCAAGATAGCAGAGAACTCACAGAGCAGTTGTAGAAAAAACTTCAGTCCAAATTAAAGTATATTTGTCAAAATGACAAATTTATTCTGTAGTTATTCCTCCTAATGCTCACCACAGTGTGATGGTGTCTTTTTTTTGCCCCAACTTTCTCAGTTTATAATTGGTTTACCTTCATTCTCCTCATCGAAAGCATTAGCAACGAAAACTCGTCAGTGACTCGCAAGACTTCTGAGAAGCCCCTCGGATTTTTTTTCCACAAAGAAAAACAATAATCATTAGCACCACAACGATATCAGGTTTCCTTTCCAGATAATGCGCGTCTCAGTCCGATTATCACGTCTCAAAAAACTTTGCCCGGGTTCATCAAGTTTTTCGGATCCAAAGCGGCTTTAATCTGACGCATAACGTCCACATTAACGCCTCCGAGCTCCTCGTCCAGATACGGTTTCTTGCCCCATCCGACCCCGTGTTCACCGGTGCAGGTTCCCTTCAATGCCAGCGCTCTTCTAAAATTACAACAATTTAATAATAAAACGCAAAGAATTGAAGATTCAAAGGAAATAATTCACGAGGAAAAATATGTTCAATAATTGACCAACTGACCGAGCCATGCGTGAAGCGAGTTCTCTTGCAGCTTTCAGTTGGGAATCGTCTTCCGGGTCAAACATGACAAAAGAGTGGAAGTTCCCGTCGCCAACGTGGCCGAGGATTGGACCTAGATTCCGAAAATCCGATTCGATCAACTTCACATAGCTTTCACGGAATGCATTTCACTTCAACAACAGGCAGGATAGCTACGGAAATTCGAGGATAATCTTCATTAGTTCGTGACAGGATGCGGTCGAAAATCCACTTTTAGAGTTTGTCCAGAAAAAGGGGCATCAGGAAAATTCTCCGTGGCCTCAACTAATTATTTGTATTAACAGTATTTTCAAATCCACAGCAAAGCTGATAGTTTCAAAGGAATGATCAGATTAATAAAATATTTGAATTCTGCCTGAAGTGCTTCGAAAAAATTCGTAAGATAAATCCGCAAAATAAAATCAAAATCTTGACACTGAATCACGCATGGAAAGGAGGCACTTGAAGCGTCATTTAAATTAAATGCATACTTCACAAACATTCTTTACAAGCCATTTACTGTTTTCTGTCGAATTTGATCATCGTTATCACTGAAAAGAATTCGAGACTATGTCTATGATTATCACGCACTTACCAAGAACTAAACTATTCCTCAACCTTTTTGTGCCCGCGGACCGGCGAATTTTAATAAAATTTTTCGCGGACCAGAAAAGAACCATACAAATTCTCCAGAAATTTCTTAAAAGACTAAACTTTTATTGAAAAATTTTATTCCAAGAACCAATGAAGCAGCTCTAGCGGAATGTCTTCAAAAAATTAGAAAGCTGGGCTTGAAGAAAGGTTCCTCCAACAAACACTCTAAATTCTTTATTTCAGCAGGTTGAAATTCGTCTGGAGCGTTATTAGGATGAAAGCCAAGTTTTATTCTTCACCAGATAATTTCAACTGCCATTGTCTTTCCAAAACGTCAAGATGAAGATAACAGACTTCATTACATCTTTAGATAAATTTATCATGCAGAAGACAATTTCCCGCGGACCACGGGTTGCAGACCACTGAAACTCCAGTGGAATTCGCAACACCAACTCACCAGAAAGGCCAGACACGTTGAAATCGTGCT